GCTGTGGTGGCGATTATCGTCATCACTATCATCATCGCTGTCATCGTCATAATCATCATCTGTAAGAGGAGAAAGAAGAGAGAAAAAGAGAAGAAAAGGTTGGAGAGACGAGCGCAGAGGAGAGAAGAGAGACGAAGACGGAGACTTGAGAGACAGGATAGAATACGAAGTACGTGTACACTGTCTAGGTTCTCTACGAAACAACTCGAGTTGAGGTGTATGCTCCCGAGAGCCCCATTTAACCAACATGTGTATGTTGACATTGTTTACATACCTATCTTACACAAATATAGATCTTCTCCGCCCTTCTGTTCTACTTATCCAACACAAGTAAATATCGACTCATCCTTGATACGTTTCAGTAAATGTAGATGTCGATATTGTCCAGATTTCCAGCTAATCAGCGAACCTATAGGTTCCCCTGAACCTAGACATGTAGATATATGCACGCTCTAGATTCCCACTTAACCAGTGCAAGGAAATATTCTACATGTTTCCCTTACAATACAATAAGACGACAGTCCCGATTCAGTCAATGGAGTATTATATTTATACTGTCCTAATTCTAATGGATACAAATATAATGTCTGCATTCATTATCTAAGTACACGCATATGTCTACATTCTATGGATCCTCACTTACTAATGCACGTATATGTCTAAACCTCAAGATTCTGACCTAAACAACACACGCACATTTTTACAAGCTATATTCTCACATGAACAAGACAGTTGTGTGTCAAAGCATCACTCAGGACAGCAAATATGTGCTTACACCCCAGGTTCTCTCCAGTAGAAGAATGTATCTACACTGACCAGATTTTCACCTTATAGATACAGTTATCTGTCTACTCACCAGTTTCTCACTTAATGATACACGTTTAATCTGTGCATCTAATCATTCATTTGACGCGTCTCCATAGAACTGCACATTGAGGCGCCCTTGAATGCTAAAGATATAACAGTATTATCAGGTACCATGTACTGACTTTCAGACAAGGTATTATTGTAAAATGTACATTTGTCATTGGCGTATGAGCATGTAGTTCATGACAAGTGTGATACGTATACGTGGAGTAACGTCAGACCGTCAATAATTGCATCGCTCGAGACACGTGTGGTGTTGCAGGAGGCCTCCCCGTCAGTGACCTGGACAGCGTCTCCGACTCCGACTCCTGCTACAGCACACAGTCCAACACCACTTTGGAGGAAACAGATGACAAGCCCATCATCAGGAAGAAAAGACCTACGACACCCAAGAAATTAGGAAAGAAGTTCAGAAAGATCTACGATGAAAAGGGCAACCTTATTCGAGAGGTATGCCTCAATTTATCGTAAACGAAAATTTAAACGTTTACGGTTGTACAACTTTGAATTTAAGATATTGTTGTAACATAATATTCAATGTATCTTTCAGGAAGAAATACCGATGGACTCAGATGATTCTGGTGATGAAACGGTAGGTAAATTCAGGTATTTGTTTTGGGTATTAAATGAGATGAGACTGTGTGTGAACATGTGTCGCCATTTGTCCCAGGTTAGGTGATCATTGACATCTTCTCCACCGTTACAATGTATAGAAGGACAATTCCTCTTCAACGACTTATGCTCTATATACATACCTTTACCAGATCTACACAGTAACTGAGGACGGCAGGCAGGTGAAGAAGAGACGGGAGAAGAAGACGAGGAAGTACATCAAAGAGAGGAAACTTCCAAATGGAAAGAAGGTACACCGCCAGTACAACAGGAATAATTTCTGCTTAATATAATTATGGAAGAAACACGTTGCGCATTTATACCTGTACATTTCTGTGTATGTATATTTGCAAACAATATATCTGTGATGTCATACATTATTTTCGTTTTTTATAACATTTGCAAACATCTATATACCTAGGTGAAGGAGTTGGTTGAGAGTGACTATTGGTCCACATGCTCTGAAGAAAGCATTGAATCATGGGAGGTTGATCCCGTCAGAGCAGAGATACACCACGCGAGACTTCGCCGGAAGAAGGAGAGGGATGACATGATGGTAGTTGTAAATATCTTTCTAAGAGTGAAGAACTGTATTTATCAACAACATTTAGAAAGCCAGCCAGCATAACTTCTGGGCAGTATAAGAGTGAGTGAGTTTATAAACCCCGTTATCAATAATAGTTCTGTGAGTCACCCGAGATGAACCTTGAACATTAACCAAGCATGAATGGAGCTATGGTGCTGGCCAACCTAGAAATATTATCAGGGCCAATTTAGTATGCTAACCTATGATCAAAAGTTTCTGCCGGGACAGATATTGATAACGTGGACGAATGGAAGCCAGGAATCCGTTTTGACGCTTTGACCAAAAGTCCATGTCAAATATACTATTTTTCGCTTTGCTGACTTTCCTTACAGCTTGAACTGGCACAACCCCGCCAAGGTCCTATCGTCACGAGACTCATGTACGAACAGAAAACTGGAAGAGAGGAGCATCGAGGAAACACAAAGCCTGGCAACTTCAAGAAACTGGCTCGACGCAAGCAGAAGAAGGTGCAGGAGCTCAGGGATGAGGAGGAGGAGGAGGAGGAGGATAAAGATGTGGACGGCCCTGCGCGGGACCAGTACATGGAACAGTACATGAAGAAAAAGCGCCTTGAGGGTGTGCTGGAGGACGAAGGATTCTGGGATGAGGAGAGAGCGAAACAGACAGCTGAACAAATATTTGTAAGTTTCTTTTATCGTTCCTTTTTAGATGTGCGTATGAGTCTACAAATGATAGCGTTTGAATGTTATCTGTCTTTATTTGAAGGAATTGGAACGACTCGAGGCTGAGTTAGAGGGGAAATCCGCATCCCAAGACATAGAGTTTGTTAGTGAGGCTGCCGACGATGAACAGGTATGTCGACATAAACATGGTATTAATTAATCGGTTAATTCAACATCTTCATCCTGAATACCAACACTAGTCGATGGTAAGGAGGAGGTGAGAGGCAGAGGCAGTATGTTGTATGTAAAGTTAACGTCAGAGAATAACTAGTCTCGATCATCTCCAGAAACGCTGTCCAGTAGGCCTAAATCTGAGAAGTGTGGTAACAAATAATATAAATGGATTACTGACACTCTCTGGTGAGTCATTACAAGTGTTCGCGAAAAGGTTAAACATGCATCTTACAACTGAGCATGTATACATATGCCATAAAAGTGAAATGTTCAACATCCATCATTGCGAAATGTTTCACTCATCTATTTCACTGTGAAGAATTAACACTGTCCACAAATTACACCAGTCGTCAGCGATGGAAACATCAACACAGAAGGTGACTGTTGAAGATGAAACGAAGAGAAAGAATTCCATCAACCGGCTCAAAGACAAGGTCAGACAGAAGGTAAATATTACAAAGGTGATGATTAACTCCGGTAGAATGTGGTACTTTAACGATTACCTGAGATGTTTATGTCGATTGTGAATTATTCGGTCATTGTGTCAATGTGTTCATATTAGGGCAAGGATGAAGCATCGGTGAAGTTTAAGGAGGACGGGCTATCTGAGACAGAATACGATGATGATGACAAGGTAATGCAAATCTTCTCAATTTTCGTGACACCGTACATTCGTTGTTGCCATCCGTTTGATATCAGCAATCACCATTGGGGGTCAGTAGGCTAAGAAAAAGGTTCACGTCAATTCTTTAAATAACCGCGGAACCGTATAAAAATAATTTAGTTTGACAAATGTATTATAGTAACCACTGAGTTCATTAGACAAGTATGTGGAGAAATCGAGTAATACACGGAACTGAATTAGGTCTTGCTCAGGTTAAGGACTCTATAATAATGAATGATTCATTACATTGGTAGTGTCTTCTATTTTGTTTGAATCCTACAGTATCATATTTCTAACAGACACATTTTCATGACATGTACAGGCACTTTCGAGAGTAAACTTTAATTATAAACCGTTGTCGTTCATATCAACCCACGTATGCTATATTCCGACATTGTCGATGGTGTGATTTGTGCAACCTGTTCATATACCCCCATCTGTTAAATTACTTCAAGCAAACCGATTATGTTCAGTGTTTTTTGTCATTTGAAACGTATTCATGTATTACATTGTCTTTAGCACTGTTGACTTACGCGTATGTTGCGCGATGCCTTATATTATATATAAAATATAATTTTATAATTATATTTTTTGTCAAACTTTGCCTTGTACGTTTCGGTTACATATAGTGTTACCTATCCTTTGTTTAGCTGTTTCCAGCATTCTATGTACCTTAAAATATGTTCCCTGTCATACCTGTGCATACCTGTGTTTCTTATTGTCCTGTTTCATCCAGACCAGGAAGCAGGTCACAGCCAGGGTGAGTCAACTCCTCACTCAGAGGCTGTTCGGGGAGGATCAGCCAAAAGACGTCAAATCAGCCATGAAACTCAGCGAGTCCAGAAAGGTAGTACCCACAGTGTTATTCTACAAACATTACAAAGAGGACTATATACGGCTCTTGGTCCCAGGTTGTTTCATCAGGGTTACAACATCCAAATGACTTCGGGACACAAGTTACAATCACATAGTTGACTCTGACATAAAGTATTGTGGATATATTTCCCCAGAATCCCGATCAAACATTGAAAGAAACGTAACATCCCAAAACAACACCGCCGATTGTGAACATGCGCAAATACATGTGATGCATATGCACGTTATTCTTAATGTAAAAATGACGAAATGCTGAAATATTGCATCGAATTCAAATTCATATTTAAAAAAATGACCGATATGCATATTCAGATGACTCACTACGGGTGTTTTCCTCCAGCAACATCTATTTATAATTTTGTTTCAAATTATTGTTTACATAATATAATGAAAACACTGAAATTTACATTTACAAGTACGTTCGTATGTTGCATATCACAAGCCGAATCAACATCTGTTCTTTAGAAATTTGAAAGCAACAGTTAGTTTCTCTTTCTGTTGTGTTCTTCAGAAGGGCCGTGTCATCTTTGTTGAGGAGATGAAACAAAGACAAGCCCCTGGTACTCAGACTAGCAGACGCAAAGAATTAGCACCAATCAAGAAAGTTGTAGGCAAAGGGTCACTTCCGGGTCAGAGACGACCAGTTATAATGGACCCCGAGAAAGCAGCCATCTACAGAGAAGGCCTGGCAAAGGATAAACACATCGTGGATGCATTGACAGGTCTGGTGGATTTGTCAGTGATCCTGACGTTATATGCAACTCTTAGATTCAACATGTTAAAGAAGATGACGTAGACTGGTGTTAAAATGTCCTCTCCTTACACCGAAAATCACTGTCTGGTTTAACACATGGGTACAGTATTCTATATTCTTCTACATTGCAGCTGAAGATTCCTGGGAGCTAGAGAATGACTATGAGGTAAGGCAAGAAGAGTATACAATGGTATACTGAAGAAACGGAACCAATAGTAATGTAGTTATTCAGGTTCTTCGAAATATATCATAAAAACTCTTTGGCATTTAAACCTGTTAATTTTGAGAATATTGTCGGTTTGTGCTAATATCTATATTAGAAGGTAACAATGTTGTATTTTCCACTATATATGTTCGAAAAGAGCATCAATGTGTCGAGAACGTAGCCCATTTGAAACCCTATCTATCAAAACATATAAACGTTTGGCTAAATATAAGTACCATAAATATCTAGTGTGTCATACCATACATTGATTTGACAAAAAGAGCCAACGAGCACTTATCAACAATGACATGTTCTGAATCAACAGTACTGGATACCAACTACAACATAACTATAAACCAAAAGTGGGCAAAATATTGCAAATAGATTATTTCTTGCCTTCTTGTGGACAATACATTCCAACATTTATGTCTACATTTTCCGATTCGCCAAGGATGGAGAGAGTGACATAGGAGGACATTCCCGACTATCGCCCCTGACTCCCAGAAAAATCGTGGTCCACAAACTGGTCACTTTCCAAGCGCCAAAGGTATTTAGCAATTTGTTTTAGCATCATACAGAAGTACGCAATACAGGATACAGGATATACTAATAAATGCAGTTATTACGTGACGAGATGTTATTTAGATCGGCAATTAGTAAAGCAGTGATTGCATGCAGTTGTCACGTTTTGAAATAAATGCCACTTATAAATGAATCTGGAGACTTAAAAAATACTTTAACTGTTTTGTGCATGAAAATGTTCATATTTATATCCTCAGACCACACCCGTGAAGCCTGGGGCCATGATGGATTGGTATGTCGTTTGCTAGCATTTACTGTGTTTCGAAAATAGCCATGTTCAAATAGCTGAGGGCTAGTTTATCTTTCTAACACTGAATTTGCTAAAGATGTTGACAAAACACTTACTAAACTTACTCAAATAACTTAAAAATTACACCTAACAAATCTCCAAAATTCCTCAAAAGTGTTAGCCTTACCTGATCCAAAACATGCAACTGTTTGTAATCTAAATCCCATTCATGTATGTAAATGTTCTGAAAATATCATAACGTTTTCTAAGATTACCAATGTGCTTATTTCGTCAATGTCTCAAGATCCAATGGGCCAGAAGGGCCCTTATTGAACTGCGACATTTGTTTATCTGATTAAGTAACCAAATAATTGATATTAAGAAGTAGACATGTTGCATATAGGATATTCTCAAGGACACTGTGAGGCGTATATCGTAACGTATCAGTAAGGAAATTCGTGAAAAGGATGTAAAAAGGTGTTTATCATGCTGAAGTCAGAATTTCTCGCCTCCTTACAGAGCCCAAGGCCGGTTGGCAACGGCAAGCCAACGGTCCCGTACACAGTATCAGCTCCAAAGTTCCACTCTTACCTAAACTTCCTTCGAGGACACACATCCACTGATCGACCAGGTCACCTGACCGACAGAGATGCCAGCTACTGTAGAGGCATACGGGCGCCCAAGAGGATGACAATGGACGACGCCAGACTACGCCGGCTGCTGGAAGAGCTGTACAAGGACAAGAAGTACATGGACACTATCATTGATGCAGAAGGTAACAGATGTCCATACCCCGTCCTTGTATTTACGAATTGCCCATGTTCAGAGTTCAAGGACGTTCTGTAGTATTGAAGGGACAGTTCCGCACGTGTTCCATTTGGTTAGAAACGGCACTTCCTAATTGTGGGAGGCGACTATTTTCGGTCGGATTGGTGACTTGGTTGACGGTTTTCGTGGACGGCCCATTGGTCGGACTTTCAAAAGCTTTCATATTTACAGGCATTGTTTTATTGCTATAATTAACCTTTAGATGCACTTTGACAGTGTAGACGCCCGTTCTTTAATAATAATTTACAGATAGCCGTGATATAGAAGAAGTCTTACTGAACACAAACTATTATTGTTCTTAAGTAATTCTTTTATCGGTTATGACTTTTTACATTTATATGAATATTTAATTTCAGAATCTAACGATGACGAGAAAGTGAAGCAAATGGCCACTCACGGGCGGGAATACTTGCTGCAGATGGCGCTGTACTGGGAGGAAAAAGGCCCACTCCCCCAGCGCCCGTCCGTCACTGCTATTGGGTTTAAACTTGAACGATCCAAATCAGCTTTCATCCAGGACGACACAGACACACAAAGACCATCAATTGCGCGGCATAAAACAGTATGCTGACACCAAGGCCCCGGATGTAACTTTCTGCTTTACTGTCGGTGTATCTGAATGTTGCAGGGGACCTCGCGTTCGCAAACATCATTGTATATTATATGTAAATAGAAGTATATAAGTACGTACTGTGTTAGTGTCTCGTTATTGTACATAGAGTTAACGCATATATTCCTGCAATTGTTCTCAGCTCTTCAGTCAGGAATAAATCAGAAGCCCTTGTGTTATCTTCCATTCGAGGAGGCAAACAGTGTTGCCCTATGAGTGTGTGAGAAATATTACAGGGTTTGAATTACAACACTATATGAGTGAATCACAAATGTATGTATAGGTGGTTGAATAAGTTCTTGTCAGTTTGTATTTTAAGAATAATTTGAAAATATTCTAGATGACAATCATCATCTTGTGGGCATGTATGGCCTTCGTTTCTAATCCGACAGTAACAGACTACGGTAAGCACATGATACGATAGGCAGACACCCAATCCAAGATCTTCATTCGATATGATAGGTAAACAATCGACCTCAAAAGCACTCTATAACAATGATAAACTCTGGATCCAAGGGTTATGGTCTCGATCCCGAAAGGTATGCTCTCGATCAGCGGTTGGCACCTCAACCCGGGGATAAGCGCTCGATCACAGATTCGGTGTTCTCAAGAAAAAGAATCTGAGATTTGACTTAACTATTACAAACATTACGTTGCTAAAACACCGCCATCTCAAGGTCCATTTCAAAGCGTTGTAACAACATAAAATACATCAGGCTGAATGGCTATTTCCTTTTGTTTCAAGTTTAGCCATCATGAAATATTTCTCTTTCGATTCTTTTGCCCGACAGTTTAACAATGTATGCACATGAGGCATGATAAACAATGGTATGTTTGCTTGGCAGTTTATACAATGCGTGCACATGAAGCACGGTGAACAATAGTTACTTTTGCAGTTTATACATCACATGCACATGAAGGATAATGAATAGTTCATTCTACAGTTCAAAGTGGATCATTCATTGTGTGAGTAGGCGTTTCGGACTGAACAATAAAGACCTCGCCCGACGGTAGGCCGAGCAAATCACCTCTTCTTTTGAAAATAACACATGTTAAATATTCCCGAATACTCACGTAAGGTGACGACATAATCATATTTCTATACAGGGATTAAAGTTTCAGACATTCTTGATCACCCCGTTGACAAGTACCACCAACAATGATATTGTCATTTTCCCACAGCGTTGATGCTGGGAACGTGTACCATCGGAACGATTGTTGAATGATTTACATAGAAACTCTCCTCGGATTATCATTCTCGTGTCAAATATGTTGTTTAATATCACTTAGTCCCTGCTGCGTTGCTTTGGGAAATGTAAAGATGACTAATGCATACCCATGTGCCCGATTAAAGACCATCAGCGGAAAAGAAGTTGCAGTGATGATATGTAAAGATCGGTGTGTCATGTCAAGGTAAAACTATTTGATAAATTCACACATTATTCGGATCAGTGATGTAGTCAAGGGGTAAGACCATTCACTCGTCAGGCTGAAGACCAAGACTCCTACGATGCATACATTAATCCATTTCTGGATCCCAGCTGTAGCAATGCTTGACAGTGGCATCAATAAATACTCACTCACTGCTGTCTTTTCATGCGTGTTAGGGTCGAGTATTGACTGATAATTAAAGTCTCGTTTGAAGAGGTCAGTGTGTGAGTGGGAAACAATTATATTCGCTGTGCCTACACTATGTTATATGAATACTTCCTGATGCTGTCATCATGTTTCAACATTCTTTTACACCTTACGAACAGTTTCGTCATTCTATTATGAAAATACCTTCGACCCATTCGATACTATTGTACGGCTTGTATAATCACCTTCTCCATCTTATTTAACACTGACTTTCACAGGACGTATCCGTACATTAGTGTTGTGTGACCGGACGGCCAGTGCTAAGTCAATAGAACCTATTGGTAGCGAATGGATCCAAGCGTTATGTAAATGGAGATAAAATAGTGTGGATAGTCGATGAATGAGGCGATCAACAGACCACAACAAAGTCATAAAATAGGAGTCAGTAAAAAATGTCACACGCAAAGGGTGGGAGACGTATGTATAGTTAACTGGTGTTAATAATATTAGTTATGACAAATCGAAATGTTGAGCAATGGTTTACAAACGATACTGTTGTCATAGAAGTGTCGTGTTTTGTAGATTGAAGAAAAATGATATCCCTACAAACGTACAGTATTTCAGTTATGTCGTTGACCAGATTCCTTATGTAAGACTTATCCTACCTCACGTTCCACTTGACCAGCTCGTGAATACGGTTCCAATTACCCTTTGCAACAGGGTACATATTTCGCGCAAAAGGCAAAACAGTAATGATCATTATATGAATGGATTACTGATAATCAGTGATTACTCCAGGTTTTAACGTTAAATTTTCAGTAAAGAAAACTTCCTGTAATGAAATGATTGGTTAGCTTGTTGTTTTACGTCGCACTCAGCAATATGTCAACTATATGGCGATGGCCACAGTGTCTTTTAGAAAGTGGTCAAATGTAACATATGTTATATGTGGGATTACACTTTTACACTTTCTTAGTAAAGAACAGATTCTAGTACTTTTATTGGGTTAAGTCCCATCCGGGATTCGATCCCACACAGAATCAGGTACCTAATCACCAGCACAGATTCAGACGCTTAACCCGCTCAGCCACCGGGTTAAATCTGTAATTTACTAAGAACGTGTAATCCCAAATATAACATATATTTGACCACTTTCTAAATGACATTGTGTAATCATAAATTTCGGCCGTGAGAGCTATGCAAATTTACACTTATCAGAGGGGTACACAACGTCCGCAGTCTAGACTATCAGTTGTGCGTCTTCCATTTTTGTGGATGTCGCGGTGGCTGAGCGGGTTAGGCAGCTAAGAAAGTGTAATCCCAAATATAACATATGTTATATGGCGGTGGTCTGTAAATAATCGAGTCAAACAATCCAGTGACCAACAGCATGAGCATCGAAGTACGCAACTGGGATACGATGACATCAGTCAATGAAGTCAGCGACCTTAACCCCAGATCCCGTTAGTCGCCTTTTACGACAAGCATGTGTTGAAGACCCATTCTAACCCGGATCTTCACGGGTGGGAATAAATGATATCACATTAGGTCCAAGCATACAATCAATCACTAGGGTCTGCCAAGCATGGACCATGTTGGAATTGTCATAACATTTGACAGACTTTCGGGAGCATCTGGTGTCATTCTTAAAATTGTATTCTTAAACTAATTTCGCTTCAAGCTTTGCTTGTCGTGTTTTTAGTCTGAAAAGCGAATATAGTTTTTTGCCATTATATGTTTTTTGTAAGTTCAGTTCGGTATCACTTTTCACATGGCACCTTGGCCGGTGAGGTAGCCTAGTGGTTTAGGCTTTCGCTTGTCACGCCAAAGACCCGGGTTCGATTCCCCAAATTGGTACAATGCGTGAAGCCCATTTTTGGCGTAACGCTAAACTCAATCATATGGCACCGTGACTGCCTTGGGCGTTTTAGTTTCCAAAATATTACAAATACATTCGGGCACTTCTGTTTAATATCCAAAACAAACACTCACACATAAAAATAAATACAGCAGTGATATTTACATAGGAAGCGTTTTGGTACTTTTGCAGTCAATAAACAGCTAGCTCTGGCGGTCTACCCACCAGGTTTTACAGTGTTTTACACAATGTACCACACACACTATATAGAGTTACGGATCTTAATTGATCGTTGTTTGATGCATATGTACATAGATTCAACATATATAATTAACATTAACATCTAAAACGACAAATATATTTTGTTAATGTTATTAGTATGATCTGTAAGATCATAACTTTTTCCTGCGTATTTACATAATATCATAACATTCAATAAAAACAAGATTGCATCTAAGCCAACAAATATAGTTTGAAGTAGTGTCAGTCATATGATATTCAAACGATCTGAATTAACCCACAAATATGTATACACATGCAAGACTCTGTCTATACAGACAATGATTCCCTTCTTGATAGCACAACATGAAGCTGATAAACCTATTCATTGCTTGTTCAATAATTAGTCCTGGACAATTTCAAGCACAGTGGTGTTCTACTCTGATTTCTTCTTGTCTTTCTTCTTCTTCTTTTTCTTCTTCTTCGTCTTCTCCTCTTTATCATCTGGTGCTTTAGAAGAATCTTCCGGGCTGGATTTCCCCTCTGTGGTCGCTGGATCCGCTTGTTTAGATTTAACCGGGCTTCCTGGAGATGCTGCAACAGTGGTAGCAACAGCAGCTGCAGTAGCAGCAGTAGCCGGTGTACGTTCCACTGCAGGGGCAGCAGCGGTAGGAGCAACTGTCGCAGAAGTTGTTGGGGCAGCAGCAGTATCAGCTGAAGGAGGTGCAGGTTCTGCTTTAGGAGGGGCAGTGACTGCAGCTGTAGGAGCAGGTGTAGTAGGAGCGGGGGTAGTAGCAGCAGTCGGAGAAGCGGCAGGAGGAGCAGCTGCAGCAGTAACAGTAGCAGCAGCTGGTGTAGCTGAAGATGCAGCAGGACTAGAAGCAGCTGCTGAAGTGCCTGAGGTAGTAGCCGGTGTCGTCGAAGCAGCTGTAGCTGTCGCTGCAGCTACTGGTGCTGCATCAGTGGGTGGACGAGATGTGGGTTCACTTTTAGGATTCCTCTCACTTTTAGGATTATCCTGGACTTTACTGGGTGATTCCTTTGACTTTTCTGGTGATTTGTCTGTCGTGTTCGCTGCCTTCTTTGTCGATGTGGAAGTTTCGTTTACAGTTGTAACCACTACTGGTTCTGTAATTCTGACATGTTTAACATGGCCGTTTGTCGGTGTTTTACCGTTAGCAGTTGGGGTTTTGGAAGGGCCAGTGGATTTTGTCCCATCTGAAAAATGAACGTGAACGTCTGATAGTATAATAAAATATGTATACAAGATGAACCGAGAAGTACAAATACGTAAGCGTTATACTAATCAAGGTTCCTAAAACTGACAGTAGGAGTCGAACGAAAGATCGAATTGAAAGACAAGGAGACTGTCCATGGTCCAACCGCATGATGTAGATAATTCACAGGTAGCGTTGTAAACTATCTAGGTGACAGTCCACAATCTTCGAATTGTGAATTATATATCTATGAAATAGAATCTTCAAAGTACATTTAACCAGCTCCCTAAACCATTCATTTTTCATTCGGATACATTTGGCATCCTTTTAAAGCAAATACACAGCATCATCTCCGATCATAATCAGGACTACCTCTTTAACTCTTCTACAAGTTCCCTGAATCTGGAAGTGATGGGCGAATTGGGTTCCACCTGATCTCGAAAAAAGCTTGATATTGTTCAGAACGGTGTACATCCAACTCTGTATTTCACCCCCTCACTAAACAACAGCCTTTATTTAGGGATCAATCTAATGACTGCAATATAATCCAATTCTAACAAAAGGACAAGGTGGTCAGGTGGTCTGTGGCTATTTGCTCTGTAATTTCGTAATCGAGTCTTACACTTATAAAAAAACCTATGATGATTGTTTCTGTGCGTGACTACACCCTATCTGTGCTCACCAAAGTGCAATACATGCTGTCACTTCGGGATAACACAGCGTGATATAACTAATATACTATAAGCCGTTAAAAACGCAATTGGTATTTGTTGTCCTGAAACTCACAAAAGTTCTATTGAAGATTTTTGCCTGCGATACAGAGGATGTAGGGATAAAAGGCTGTTATTCTGGCCCATTTCGAGTTCGAGTCCCAGAGCATTCCTCTCACATGGACTTTGATACTTAAAACTGAACCTTTTAAAACTGACATTTCTCGTAAACACAACCACATTCATGAAACACGTTGTGCACATGCATTACCTGCACCCAGGCCCTGTAAAAGCACAAGGAATTGTGGAACTCAATCACTTTGAGAAAATGCCACACTTGACACAAGACGAAAGGAATCAGGTTATCGGTATGGTCAGCCAAGGTGCTTCAGATGTGATGATTGCCAGGCACTTTAATGTGCATCCATCCACTGTAAGTCAACTCAGACAACGTTTTCGGGCTACCGGAAGTGTTGCTGATCGTCCGAGACCTGGTGCACCACCTGTGATAACAGCTCGACAAAACCGCAATATCACAATATTTCACACTTGCGAAATCGGTTCCAAACAGCTGATGATGAGGCAAGGAGGACAATTGGGACAAGTCAACGTCATTTCAGCGCCCAAAAGGTGCAAGGACGCCTTGCTGCTTTCAACATCCGGTGTCGTCACCCGTGCCGTGGTCCAACCTTATTGCATCGCCACAGACTTGCCAGACAGCGATGGGCAGCAAATGGGGCCAATCTTGGCCAGATGTCATTTTGTCAGATGAATCCAGGTTTAACTTATCCTTTGCAGATGGACGTCCACAGATTTATCGACGTAAGGGAGAAAGACTTGCGCCAAACTGTGTCCTTGAACATGATCGTTTTGGATGGGGTGGTGTCATGATCAGACCACAGACCATCAGAGGCTGCAGACCATCCAACAGCTGTTCCTGAGAAATGTGTGTCTTTCAATGCCCCAAAGACTGCGAGCATGTCTTGCAGCGCACGGTGGACACACACGATATTGACTGCAAGTGACCCCTCCTTTGTTTGATGTCGTTGTTGCGTCACTGATGTTGTTGTTGACTGGACATTTTCAGATGAAATTATTCACAGATGTTCACTTAAAACATATCTGCCAGTTAGGTTTATATATGTTGAAATTGGTGTGAGTAAAGAAAGTATGAATGTCAAATTGCGTTTTTAATGGCTTACAGTATATATATACTAACTACACTAGGGTTGAACCTACTTCACTCACTTACTTCTCAATACAACTGATCGGGTGGAGAATGGTAAGCATGCAGTATGGAATTAATTCATCCCTTCATTCCTTCCTTCCACCATTAATCAATTCATTCATTCATTCATTCAATGACATACCTGCTTGAACTGTATTTAGTTTCTTGTTGCGCTTCTTCATTAACAACACAATGACAACAACGGCTATGGCTATGAGGATAATGATACCAACAGCAGCTCCACCTGCAATGGCCGCGATGCTGCCCTCCTCTTCTTCTGAAGTTATTGCTGGAAACAAAAGATTTTGAAGAAGGCGTTACACCTCAGATTGTAAAGCAGCCTGACAATGAACAGAGTGACACAGTTGAAACTTCATAAGAAAATATGCAGTATATTTTGAAGTTTAAATGCACAATTCAACCTTAATATTATAACGCAATACTTACTAAAGCGCATTCTATATATATCACAGATGACAAGCGTGTTTGCTGATATGTTTATGTCATCACATGCTTATATTAACTTAGATATATATAAAAAGTACTTACGACACAGTTCTGAAAAAGAGAGGGAAACATTTGTTAGAACCACTCATTACTTCAAATTAGACAAATACACTGATACTTTTAAATTTGATAAGTTATATATGCAAGTTAATATGTGTCATTTTTTATCTGGTATTATGTTAAGTCACCATATAAATTCAAAGCACAATGCAAGAATAGGAATGACAAGTCTGTATGGATGATCAACTTCTTTATTGTGCAATGGCGACGCTTCGGTATAGATACATATACCATTTTCAAGCATGACGTGGTGAAAACGGTATGAGTATCAATCTATACCGAAACGTCGCTATTTCCCAATAAAGAAGTCGATCATCCATTAAGACTTGACATTCCTATCACTTACAGCTTCTAGAATGCCTCTCAAACAGTACATTGCAGGAAGTATTGGATGAAAGGAAGCACCAACAACTGGGAAACCGGGTTGATGATGTGACAAGCGAACTTGTGTTACACAAAGATATGTGGTACATGCATGTACAATGGAGGTGCGTGTGAACATTTTATCATCACTTTGAAATAGTTTGCAAATGTTTTTAGTTTTTTACTACTTGTATGTTTTTGATTATTTTACAATCTTCAAAGGGGGTTCACTGGGGTTTCCGGTGGTATGTGCTTGTCCCATAAGGCTACGTAGTGCGGGTAGGTATGGAATAGGTTTAAGGACAAGAAGCCATTCTTAACTGAACGTGACATTTCACCCAAGGGTCGACGTCCTGTGCAGACACCGGTGAATATACACAAAACCAGACCTTTGGTCATAATATTAATCATTGGTATGTCTACTCCAGACTCGATTTTTACTCATTTTGCTGTAATAGTCCTAAGATAGGCGTTAAACAAACAACGTACTAACGATATACCGAAACTTAGACAGCTATATATCGATAAACCTGTAACATTAACGGTAATGTTGATTAACGTCATCCTCAGCAATATTCATTTCCGGGCTGTCTGTAGATAATCGGGTCTGGAATGGGCAACTCCTTAATCCACATCATGAGCCTCTATCTACATACAAGTTCCATGATGGAAGTTTCCAGCTATACGACAGTCAACACAATTAGTCCGCATCAGAAACTCCTGTGAATGGCATCTTGAACAACTATCCGTATATCAACATGTATAGGAACACCGGAACTGAAGAAAGTGTTTAGGCGGCTGCTTAGAATTAAACAAATAGAAATGGTTGTTTGATCGTGGTGTTTCATAGTTGTTTTCTGGGCCTTAGGTTGCTAGTGCTTTCAACCTAATAACGTTTTGATCACATCCAGTTTTCAATAGTATACATTGGTGTGCTCGGTACTTTATATCAATGACCTGTTTTCTAAAAAAGTTAAATTATAAAACAAACAAGAGGAACGTATGACGTACCTAAAGGTACCATTGAAAGAAGGCCGCCTGGAGAGACACTTGACGCGACTTGATTGACCAAACAGTCCTGAGGTGTGTACGAGGCTGACACTGTGCCCGAGTTTTCTTCAAGTGCCTGCAGATGAAACAGTTTTTAGAGATTTTCCTAGCGATGATTGACATGTCTGTTATATATCCAGCTCATGGATTTCACCATTTTGGTAAACCTCAACGAGCTTTTAATCCTGCCAAATTAGGCTTCCAAGCCGACATGTTAAGGATATGACGTTAAAGTGGCGTTAAGATCAACAACCTAGCTACAACAAACGAATGTCAGACCAGGTCATTCCGGTAAACCTTCAATGAGTTGTAATGCACACAAGATCATACATATCCATGCAGAGACATGTATGTGGTAGTTAAGGGTATCATATGTGTTTCAAGAAATCTGTAAGGAGGGTTTTTTTCTCTAAAGGGTACACCAGTAGAAATAATATATTGAGCTATAAGGTCCCATGCTACAAAAGTTATGTTTAAGTCATCTTCCATAACCTAGTCTGTTATTGATCAAAATTGTTATGATCATTAGTGGTGATTTTTTCAAAACATTCACCTTCAAAGTTTCGTTTTAGAAGTGCCGTTACAATATCCATTGCTGGATTTTCATCGCTCCTGATTGTCCTGTAAGTTATTTTACAGACATGTGTTTTAAGCATTAGTCAACACAGGATCTAAACCCTGGTATGTTTCATAAAAGAATGGAAATACTATTCACTGGACGTGTTTATACGTCTAATCCTGCAACGTTCTACGTCAATGTACGTCACACATCGTTCGACCTACAAAACACACGGTCCTGATGGTGCTTGAGGAGAAGGTTCCTGTTCCGATCCAAGTCCACAGGTAGGTATTAGCACCTCGCGTCACAGAGCCCATACACTCCAGGATACCACTGGCTGAAGTAGTACAATATAGCATGTTTTAGCTGTGGTCATATATCAACACACTGACCAGAATATCCATGATTGGTTTCAACATTTGAAATCCGGTTTGTGCAGTAAAACAATAGAGCATATCTGTATCACGTTTACTAGATCCCGTCATACTGACTGTACACATAGTTTGTATAGACCTTCTTAGTTTGCCAAACTGGCAGACTTACTGGGCACATTGTTTACCCAACCCCAGACTTACTTGACACATCAGTCTGACATATTTGGCAAGGTGACTATCATCTACAAGATCTACTTGGCGCATTCCTTGCCTCTCTGTTAGACCTATTACAAACAGAGATGGCCCATCTGTCAGTCTTACTTGACACTTATTAGTGGCAAATCGTCAGGCGTGCTTGGCACATTGCTTACCCATGAGTCAGATTAACTTGGCACTTAGTTCGTCTATCTCTCGAACTTACTTGAGTATGCCACCTGGTCCGCACACTGGACGTAATCAATGACTACAGTGGTTCTTCCCGGGCAGACAGCGAAACTAGAGTTGCCAGTACATTTAGTCCCATCGAAGGTGTAGTTGTAGTTGCCGTGGATGATACTAGGGCACGTCACGGCCATCTCCCCTGCTGTGTCGCCTTTACCTGTCAGAGGATGTCAGATAAGGATAATTTTTAATGACAAGCTGCTATTCAACAGTGTAATCCTGATGACTGTAGTGAGCCTTACACTGATTTCAGACTTAGGGAAGTTAAGATATCGTATTACAGTCCGTTTGACTTCATTTTAGACCGATGAATTGCTCTGATAAATACAACAAAACCAAATTTTGCACAGTCACATGAAATGTACAGACCAACTCTGATGATTTGTCTCATAATTTTGGACACCCGAATAAAAAAGTTGTTTAACAAACGATCATTATTTTGTTGTCACTGTTCGCTATTTCTTTCGACCACATGGACCACATGCTGGTAGAACAGCCAGGTGTGAGAGTTGCACGTGTAAAATTGAAATGTCACTGCACACGCTTGCTGATTACCTACATTTTAAAAAGTGCAGAGTCGTATCTTTCCTTGTATTACCATATATGTACAGAGAAAGATAGGGCCCCTTATAGGCCCAGTGTGTTAAGGCCACGACGTCATATTGGGATATTGTCCTTTAAAGGAAGTAAACGTAATACTGGGGAAAAGGAATATGCATATCAAGACCAGTTAGACTATAGATCTAGCTAGTTATCTGGCAAGTGTCAACCAACCGCTCCTGTACATGATGGTCGACCTGACCGTCATATTGGGATATTGCCCTTCAAAGGAAGTAAACGCAATACTGGGGAAAAGGAATATGCATATCAAGACCAGTTAGACTATAGATCTAGCTAGTTATCTGGCAAGTGTAAACCAACCGCTCCTGTACATGATGGTCGATCTGACCTCTGATGGCTGAAAGGCACACACGTCCAGTGCTGTTAGTGTGGGGTCGATGTCCACGAAGCCCTTTACAAGTGTTAAATCAACGTCGCTCACAGAGATCTTCGAGCTAATATCTACAATGGAAATGTATAATGTCAACGAAAATGTTAACATGTTGGGTAAATGAGAAAAACATCTCTGCGTATTAAACCTGGTTTTAAAGGACACCCATAGGGCAGGTTGTATCCTCCTTTAGCGAACACCTGGTGTCATCTCATGATTTCTGAAGACATACCTATAATGTAATCGGGACGGTCGGGTAGCCTAATGGTTAAAGCGTCCGCTCGTCACGCCATAGACCAGGCTCTATCGTTGCAATGTGTGAAGAACATTTCTGGTGTTTCCCGCCGTGATATTGCTGGAATATTGCTAAAAGCAGCGAAAAACTAAACCACTTGCCTACCCCACTTGATGATACTGACCGCCTCCGTGGTGTAGTGGTTAGAGCGTCCGCCCGGTGAGCGGAAGGTCGCGGGTTCGATCCCCGACCGCGTCATACCAAAAGACGTTGAAATATGGTACTTGTTGGTCCCTGCCTGGCGCTCGGCATTAATGGGTACAACAAAGACTGGTCGGCTCGGAGTCAGTATAATATGTCTGAGTTGGGTATTCATGCTTCACTGCGGCATGGTATCTCAGTGGGCTAGCACTATTAAACCAGCTTAAGTCTGGGCTAGTACAAGCAGCCGCACATACACATACACACGCATGCACGTCGTCATATGAGCGAAATATTCTCAAGCACGACGTTAAACCCAATTTCACCTCACCTCACCTCACCTCACCTCACCTCACCTCACCTCACCCCACTTGATGATACTAGGTTTCTATAAATCGTAAGCGTATTCTGTCCCATCAGTGGCTGTTAAAATACACATTCTTTTTACACAATTGCTATGTCCTTGGAAAAAAGTATCAGTTGATCATCTGATAAAACACAAGAACATATGGTAAAGCACAATAGAAACTGAATGGTTATCGAATGCTTCCATGAATATTGAAGATATACATACTTGCCAGGTCTGTCATTAAGAAACTATTGGCGCCGAAGACTTCAATATTGAAGCATAGGTAGACGAACTGGTTGTCCGTTGTGTAGGCTCTCGGGAGATCCTGGCTGGACGAGGAACGCACGTGTATCAGACTCATGGGTACACATAAGACTGGCGGTGCGTAGGTGTATCGTAAGGTACAAACACATATCACTAGACTGACTAAATATTAATTGTTAAAGCCCAAATCTTACTGACAAAAACATCATAATATATATACGACATGGAAATCTATTAAGGCAGCAAGGAGATTGAAACCAGGGCCCCGTTCCACAAAACGATTGTAGCGCTAAGATGATCGTAACCCCCATACTTTAAAAGGATACTTACGACTGTCGTAGCGCTAAGATGATCGTAACCCCCATACTTTAAGAAGATACTTACGACTGTCGAAGCGCTAAGATGATCGTAAACCCCATACCTTAAAAGGACACTTACGATTGTCGTAGCGCTAAGATGATCGTAACCCCCATACTTTAACATAGACTTACGACTGTCGTAGCGCTAAGATGATCGTAACCCCCATACTTTAAAAGGATGCTTACGACTGTCGTGGCTCTACGATCGCTTTGAGGAACGGGGCGCAGAATATGTCTATAAGGGCCACATTGATAAGTAAATTACACATGTCTTTGAGACATTGATATGTACGTCACATAATTATATCTGTGAAGGCATCATTCAGATATATGTCAATCATGTCTATGAAGGTACCGAGACGCTGCATGTTTACTTTGATGCACGTCATGTCGTTACGTCTGAACAAGCCGGCACTACAACCAGTACTTACACAATGACGTACGTGGCACCGTTTATCGACTGGCATCTGAAATCATTGTAAAACTGGGTACCGCTGTAATAGTTGAACCCTTGAAAAGAACTGGGGAAATGGTAAAGGTTTTGCCATCTCGTTCCCGGACCCAGGTTCCCCATATTGAACTGGGGAAAGTGCACTGGCTATCTGAAAATTGAGAAAGTAATAAACAAATTGAACTTTTGTCAGTGTCGAAGAGGCATCATCAAATGTACTATATACGGAAATCTTTTAAAAACGCAACACTTGTTTTTCCTGAGTTGTCATGGACTGTGTATTTCTGGTTATAGAAACACAGTGTAGGGATATTGGGTTATGGTCAGTGTTGACTGGGAACCTGTCTCTAAACTATATAGTAGAGAGGCAGTGGTCGATTGGAAGACACTTAACATTGCAGTCATGGTCACCGATTTCCTACAAATATAGGATTAGGTAAAGTATATTTAAAATAAACTTGTTCTCACCTCCATTATCATCAGCAGAATCTTTTCATGTATTTTTGGCTACAGAAAACAAACTTTGACGGGTTATATATTTGTCCATGTTTATTTACGTTTGATGTTTCTATGTCCTTTGTAACATTACGTTTCGGGAAAACGGGGAAGAATTTGTCATCATACCCGGTGACGTGGCTCAATGTTGTCATCTTGCTACAATTGCAGGAACAATTGCGTTTGCATTGTCTGATTAAGCTCAGTTCAGATCACGTGGCCATGATATAGCAGTAATATTCCTTAGTGGGGCGTAAAACAACACTCAACAAACAAAACCAATTCCCATTGCCACATGAAACCTCTGCTAAAAGTACGATGACCACTGTATGAGTAAGAAATCTTTATTCAAGGTATAAATGAATATCGCATAAATATATACCCGTTATATTACATTAAGGTTTATCCTAAATGACATCTTGTAAGATATCTAACTGACATTTCAACAGAATGCTTTGCAGAACATAGTTCCATCTTTTAGAATCCTTGTTATATACTTAGTGGTGACAGTAGGATCATTTAGAAAAATACGAAATTAATAGAAACATCTTATATTTTCTAAAAAAGTCATCTACTTCTCATTTCCGACCTGGCAGGATCGCCCATGTAAAACATTAACTCTGTCAGGTCATTTAAACAGACTCTACAAATATCCTTAAACGATCCTCTCACAACAAAGTTACGCGGGTACGTTTCGTGTGTTAGGTAACGGTGATGAACATGATTATAACTGGTATTAAAACTAAAACTTAAAAACACAAAATACGTATGAATTAAAATACAAACCAGAGCCTTGAAACAACAAGAGCACGATAATTGTCCCTAAAGCCAGGGGAGTAATATCCATGATTGAAGTCACAAAATCATGAAGAGTTCTACTGCCGTGTGCTATAGGTTATCCCGGGAGCCGTATTCCAGTCAGTGTGTGCGTCCAAGCATATCAACGTCGTAGGCCTGGCGACAATTCCTCACTGTGGCTTTATCGCCTTTGCCACGCTAGCACAATGGCAGGTTAGGAACTTCTTTCACCAATGGCATATGTCAGTCTGGACAGAAACTCTTACACTTGAATTATCTATTAGCTTCGCGATTCATCGTGTTTTGATGGAATGAATCGTATACAATGTTTGGAAAGGTGAATATATATTTGCACTTGATAGGGACTATTTGCTTGGTGATGTGAATAACATAACTTTTGGTCATTGACTCTTCATCATTGTAGTGACAGTATACGTGCTATTTGTAATATTATCAAATTTTATTCTTGAAATATTTAGATGTCAATATGTGTTTTTATTCCCATCAAGACATTCATGATTGACATGATAGAAATCATTGATACTGTTTTAGCTTCCAGAAAAAAAACCTCAATGAATAATAAGTCTCAAATATCAGCCGAAAGAGTTTTCATAGTGCTCTGGAATACGTGCCTATGCTGTAAATAAATGTAGTCTCCATAACCTAGTACCTGTTGTATATCGCACGACATGTAAGTGAAGCTACTGAAAAATCGAAATCACCCCTTTTTTAAAACCTAGTACAGTGGTAACTATCAACTTTACTGAGCATAGGGGGGGTGGGGTAGCCTAGTGGTTAAAGCGTTGGCTCGTCACGCCGAAGACCCGGGTTCGAATCCCCACATGGGTACAATGTGTGAAGCCAATTTCTGGTGTCCCCCGCCGTGATGTTGCTGGAATATTGCGAAAAGCGGCGTAAAACCAAACTCAGTCAGTCAGTCAGTACTGCGCACAGATACAGATGAGAGACTGACAGGGTTTATCAGTTGTCCCTAGGATGTCCGACTCTGGCGGATAGATGATATCAAGAGTCCCATCTACCTTGGCACTGTTAAATTACTATAAGTTAGCCATGTGTAGGAAACTATACGGGGAAGCTGAACTTTGTGGCAACTACCTCAACTTGCGTAAATATTCTGGCCCCAAATTTGACATAGATATTGCCCCTACCAAATAGTTACAATTACTTTTACAAACTGGCCACATCCATTAATCACGAATGCTTTATTATGGAAAATATCAACCTATAGTCTGTAGTTTTAGTTAATCGGTATTTGCCAAGTTTTTCAGGCATATTATTTCGCTGAGAAAAAAGGTTCATCGGGTCAATTAAAAACTTGAAAACATACTTGATCAGAGTTTAGCAAAGTAATTCTTAATAACGGTAACAACAAGGATGTTGTGTCATTTGATTATATCGTTGATATGATTTCATTGATATTTACCTTCCGAATATTTACCTTCCGTCGAAAAAAGTCCCACTTCCGATTATCTAATTTGCATACTTATTTCATTGGGGTATGACAAACATGTTTTTATGTCAAAAGTTTATATCTCGCTTCCACTGACACGTCATTGCATTGAACATGTGGATTGAACATGTGGATTGAACATATGTCAGCAGAATAACCAATTCTGATTGTCCACCAAACCGATTCTACCGGAAGTAAAAGGAGAATAGCTGTGACGATGATATGAATGGATCACCAAATATCAATGATGACACTAATGTTCGTGGAAAGGAGAAGAATGTGATAGATCTGCATATCTAGAAACACGGTTTCCCATTTGCGTTGGTTTGCTTGTTCGTTTGGTTGTTTAAGACCGCACATTGCAATATTCAAGCCATATGGCGGCGGCCTGTAAATAATCGAGTCTGGACCAGGCAGTCCAGTGATCATCCAGTCCAGCATGAGCATCGATCTACGACATTAGGATACGATGACATATGTCAAACAAGTCAGCGAGCCTGACCACCCGATCCCGTTAGTCGCCTCTTACGACAAGCTTTGGTTGCTGAAGATCAATATTCTAACCCGGATCTTCACGGGTGCATTTGCGTTGGGGTGAGTGTGTGAATGAGTTTAGTTTTACGCCGCACTCAGCAATATTCCAGCTATATGGCGGCGGTCTGTAAATAATTGAGTCTGGACCAGACAATCCAGTGATCAACAGCATGAGCATCGATTTGCGCAATTGGGAACCGATGACATGTGTCAACCAAGTCAGCGAGCCTGACCACCCGATCCCGTTAGTCGCCTTTTACGACAAGCATAGTCGCCTTTTATGACAAGAATGGGTTGCTGAAGACCCATTCTACCCCGGATCTTCACGGGTCCATTTGCGTTTGAACCACATACACATGATAACACATTACAAACACATTCAACACACTAGGACCAGAGGTGAAAAACAAGACTCAAAACAAGGTATGCCACATAAACATTAACCTGTCCTTCTATTATTTGAACTTATCTATCCTTGATGGAAACTTTGCAGACTAAAAAGTACGTGTCACCTCAGCGGGCATTTGTTGGTTAGCAGGACTCGGAAAGACTACATCGTATATCACAGATCAACACTATAGTCGCGAGGACGATGTCAAGGAATGTGCCCTTATGTCATTTCCGACGGCTTTCAATTATTGACGCATTCAAATTTAGCAAATAGTTCTCCTACTACAACCGACCACAATGTTAAAAGAATCAGAGATACACCTCCAACCAACAGACCTGTATCCCCTGGAAGACCTTTATCGCAAATTTGTGATTATTACACATTCCTGACAATTGAAGAAATTCTGTGTAGAATGTAACCTTTGATTTTAAACATGAATAGTACGTTTTGATCAGCAGTTCTTCACACATTTCATTTTGTTTTTAAATTCTGACACTGTTTCTGACGCATACCTAATGTGCCATACACCTGTTATCCAATTAGTCGGTTGCAGCATAAATACCAGTCATCATAGTTTGAAATAAAACATCTAGCCCTT